ACTACGCCGTTGTTCAGAAGAGACTCGTCGATAGTTCGCGCATCCCGGATGTAGATTTTGCATTGTTGATAGGTCTCGTTATCGGTGACAATTCTCTCCAGCTCCTTTAGGGAATAGACATCGTAGGTGGCCTCATCGTGACGATCGTAGATAGCGTCCCTGTGAACTGCGTGGACTTCTTCGATTCCGCCGTTTTCTCTCGCGTCCAGGACCTCGCAAAAGATACTCGTGCAGGGTTGTTGGTCTTCGGGAAGAACCTTCCGCCGGAGCAAGGCATTGCAGAACGTAGACTTTCCCGCATTCAGATCACCGGTGACCAGAACCTTGCTTGAAGTATCCTCGATTCTCTCGCGCAGCGAATAAAGATGTTTGATACTGGAGCGAATTTTACCATCGAGCAAAGAAGCCACTGACTCCTTCTGCAGCGAATGTACGAGATCGGCCTGGTGTAGAGAGCCCAGATTAAGATCCAGCTTGAGGACAGAGAACTCTTGGGCAATCTGTGGGGAAACTAGTCGGGGTTCCGAGCTGGTGTTCCTCCTCTCGGCAGCCCGGCTGGATTCGGGCTCGGCGTGGTCGTCGCCTGTTGTCATGGATCTTCGCAGTGAGTGAGGCGATGGCGGCGGGGGGAAATCTGCGCCCATGGTTGAAGAGCGATGCAGACCCGGTGGACCATAGTTGTTTGGCTCGTCGAGAACAGCCCGCTGGACAGAGGGATAATGCGCAGGCCATGTCACGTTCATCTCCTGCAGCTTCTTGAGGAGCTCGACGACGGTGTTGATAGAGCGCCCTAGCGTGACGCGATGCTGGTTATACCATAGCTGGTGTACGGCGCCGGCCTGCAAGCGGCGGTTGGCATCGTCGTCGTGAGTGGCGGTGGTCGGAGTTGGTAGCGGGCTATCGTGGTGCACAGCCGAGTCCCAGTGGGAAGGGGCTCTCGAGTCACCGGCAATGCTGCCGCCGTAGCCGGAGTCGTTGTCGAGCATGGCCTGAAGGCGAGCAGCATGTTGGGAAGTCGAGCCGGTGCCGACGGTCATATACGCGGGCGTGGTTGGGGCTCCCGGGACCTGCGGGTGGTGTCCGGCGCCGTCATCGAATTCGCGCGGTTCGCCGTCCTCGTGTTGCTGGGGCGCCTTGCCCTTGGACGGGTAGTAATCCTGGCTCATGGTCGTGGAGGGACTTGTCGCAGTGTCGAGAGAGGACCGAGCGGATGCGTGCACGAGGCGTTTATCAGAAGGGCATCGAGGGCGGGAGATCGGAGGTTAAGCGGATTCGTTAGGTGTGATAATGGAGAGAGGGTGATGGTGGGCTGTTTAGTGTCAGGTTAGGGCGTCACGGATGAGAAATCCAAAAAATTGGAGGAGTCCATCCATGCGCACCTCCTCCTCCACCTTCCACTCCATGCCAAACCTGAACCCCCCCAGGCCGGGGGGCCCATGCGGGCATGCGGGACATTTGAACGGCTGCATTGAAGGTTGATAGGTCGAATTGCAACGAAGCACGGAATTCTGTCGGCAGTCCCCTCATGGTTTGGTGATTGGCCGCTAGTCTTGTTATGGACAAACGTGGCCGATGCATCCCTGAGCCTATCTGGTATTTGTGGCTTGACTCTGCTAATCAGCGGCGATGAGGTCACATCTTCTGTGGCTTTGGGTGGCTCGCTACTAGTAGCAGCAAGGCCCCTACCCAAGGCTCCAGCATTGAGCACCTTGGCGTCTGGGGGTCTTGGCATCATCAGTCCAGCAGGGTACCATAACAACTGCGCAACTGCCAAAACCAACTGCTCCCAGTCCCAGCACCTTCCGAGGCCGATTTCGTTGAGTTGTGGACGGCCAATCCTCTCGATCTGATCATCAACAAATTGTTGTCTCGACGCAGGGCGTGGATGAGGTATTAGAACCAGTCATCTAGCGCTCCTTTCTACAGGTCTTAGCTATCAATTACCGCCAGCGCCAGCAACATGAACGTGAGTTTCCGTCGTCGGTCGATGCGCATCCAGGCCGCGCAAGCTAACACCATGTTTCAACAACTAGGTCCTGGAATGGGCCTTCGGCAAGCGTATGACGCCGGCCGAGCGTCTTCGCAAAAACCAGCGACTCCTCGACAAGGCTATCCGAGAACTGGACCAACAGCGCGTCAAGCTCGAGAAGCAAGAAAAGACACTTGTCTCCCAGATTCGCCAGAGCGCTCAGAAGGGTCAGATGGGTGCTTGCAAGATCCAGGCCAAGGACTTGGTGCGGACACGACGATACATCGAAAAGTTTTACAGCATGAGGAGTCAACTCCAAAAGATCTCGCTTCGCTTACAAGTGAGTGCCACATCTCCGCCGATATACGAAAGACTAGCCAACTGACAAGATCCATCTCTTAGACATACCGTACAAACGAGCAGATGATGCAAGCCATGAAGGGCGCGACGATGGCTCTCGGAAGCATGAACCGCACAATGAACCTACCCTCGTTGCAACGTATAGCTATGGAGTTTGAGCGCGAGAACGATATTATGGAACAACGACAGGAGATGATGGATGATGCTATCGACGATGCAATGGATATGGGTCTTGAAGAAGAGGGTGATGAGGTTGTAGAGCAAGTGCTGGAGGAGATTGGCGTAGATCTCAGTCAAGCGGTAAGGCTGTTCGGTTATATTCGCAGCAAGATCACGTTGCTAACTTGTTCTTTGCCAGATGGGCGAGACACCATCGGGACTACAGGTTGCGGCTGTCCCGGAGAACAAAGTCGCCCAAGCAGTGGGTGGTGGGGGTGGGGGTGGTGGAGCCGACCCAGGCGACGACGACTTGCAGGCAAGGTTGGACAGTCTGAGACGATGAACGAAACTCTGATGAACTTGGGAACCACAGACTGGAAGCTGTACAAAGGGTTGAACTTGGACGAAGATGCTCAAGCTTCTATGTTCCCCTCCCTGGGATGGGAATGGCTCTTCAAGCTTGCCGGTTTCTTGATGCATCCACGACTCTGAGAGGGCGATATGGTTAGTATGCCTACTTGCAAAGCAGTGGCATCTATGAGCACACATGAATGCAGCATGACTGCGGGAGTTTTAGGCGTACGTTGGGTTGAGTGGACTGTTAGAATAATGGTTAGGTGATGAGCTGGTATTCTCACGAAAACATGTTACTTCTTTCGTTGGTTGGCTCGTTGGGCAGAGTGAGTTTCATGTACAGTGCAGATCGCGCGACTAACATCCCATCCCGCTTTGTTATGCGGAATAGCGTCCAACGGTCTAGCCGTCCTGCCGTCCAACAGGCTATTCTCATTATACACCACGACCAGAAGATAGTGAGTCTCTAGGGGAGGAGGACTTCCACCAGTGTTGACAAAAATCACCACAGTCAAGTCGAAAGATAATGGGGGTGACAGCATCGAACAGTATCATCTTGACAATATGCGATGCGAAGTGAAGTGTCGATGACAATCCCGTTTCCTCGTGGTTGCAGTGAGCGTGAGATGAGACGGTCGCCCCTGATAAATGTACCTAGCAGCAGTCAGGGTACCGCACCTGCAACACCCCGCGCCTAGAAGCATACCTCTAGACTTAGTACTTAGGTCCGGTAGGTAAGGTAGAAGTAGCTATCTGGACCATCGCGAGTACTGTATCGGTGCCTTTTTGGCGCCAACGCCCGCAGTCTGTACTACTATAACGCTTTGTAAACACCCGACGGCACAAAGAACCTGAAGATGCGCAGTCCCCGGATTTCCCGCGGGTGTCTTAACTCACACCATATTAAATCTTTTCTCTATGATTCCCACATGGACTAGGCGCATGGTAAGGTACTGTAGTACAGATAATCTACACCTTATGTCTTCAAGGTGAAGCTCCCTAAACACCTCCCGTCGCTGCTGTTGCATGGCAAGTGGAATCCGGATTAAGCTGTACAGTACCCCACTTTCTGGGCTGCACTGTCACACACAGATCAAGTTTGCCGTCTCTACTGGTGCCTGTAAGATCCCCGATTTCAGAAGGCCCTCAGGGTCCCTTCAGGTCGTGGCCTCTGACGGAAGGCGGGACTGGAACCTGATGGACTCGGACTGGACCTGAAGCATCTCCACTTCATGCTGTCAGGCGGGCACCCTGAAGTGGATGCGCAGGAAGCTTGTAGGGCGGTCCAGCCATTCAGATCAGCAGGCGCGAGTCCAACACCGATCCGCATCTTCCACTTGAGCTTGGGCCTCGACACCTCCACACACGGGCACTTTCACCTCATTTCATCCCTTTGGACAACATTGCAGTCGAACTGCCTCTTCATCCGCACTGAGAACAAATCTCGATTCTGGTGCCACTGCAGTCGACTCGAACCTCACTTCTCCCCCGTGGTTGCTCTCCCGAAACGCAGCACAGAGCATTGCAGCTTTGGTCCGAACGGTGTTGTTGATTGTCGTTGTTGCCGTTTTCGTCATCCATTTCTCTGCCTGGCTCCCTTGGACATCTAGAACTACCTACTACCTACCTACCTACCTACACTACTGGACTCGGTGCTTGCTCCTTCCTTGTGTAGGGTACCTCAAGCTCTCCACCTGGACCCCGAAATACTAGAGGTACCTCTAGGTAGACTCATAACCTCCCAAGGTGCCCCTGTGCGCCTTCGACTTTCCTGCTCCCGTCACTGCTGTGCAGCCCTGAACAGTGGCTCTTCAACTGGCATTACATCATCTCAGCGCGGTGCACTACAGCCTGTCACCAGACCCCTCCCTCCCTTCTGCCTTTCAACAACCTTTCGCGATCTCCGCCATTGCATCAGCTCCATTCAACGAATACCTATCAAACTTACTCCAGCCTTCCTGCAACAACTTTCAGCTTCTCCCTTGCTTCTTTGTCAATCACAACCGGCGCCCTCACTTCCTCATCGCAAAGCGCAACGAGCGCGCATAAATCCCCAATAGGATTTCTAGAGTAATACAGACGCTGTCCCTATTCACGACCGCAGTTCTCCGCAGACCGGCCTTTCAGTACGGCATCTTCTCGCAACGTGTCGCGCCCTCACCCACCCCACCCCCCCAACAACCAACCTGGCAGGCAACAAGCGTCGCAGTCTCTCCTCTCAAGGAGGCCTGCTGAATAGGATGTTCGGCGGCGGTTCCAGCTCCGCCGCCTCCAAGTCCGTGAGCGGGTCGGCTTCAGATTCGGGCAGCAGTGGAAAGGACAGGTCGAGCAGCAAGTCGCCCTCCCCCGAGAAGGAGGCGCCGGGCAATGGAGGCGCGTCTCCCAAATCCATCAAGTCCACCGACCAGTCTACCGCCGGCGACACTCAAACCGGCAACGGGAGTCCACCGAGCGCTGGTAGCTCGTCCGATAGCAAGAAGAAGCGGAGCAGTGGGGTGAGCGGTAGAGCCAGCAGCCTGATTGCCCAAGCCAAAAATACTCTGTTTACTCAAGTTGCGAACCGTAACAGCGGTGATATGAGTACTGACTCCAAGAACTCTAATCAGACTTCCTTGCAAAAGCTCGGCAAGCAAGATCAGGCCCTTGCTGTTCCTCAAGGCCAGCACAACAATGCCGCTGGTGAATCACTCCCCGGGCCGCGCTCCACGTTCAAGGTTGGTGTCTGGGAGGACCGCAACAAGAAGTGCAGACGTACTATGGAAGACACACATGCTTTCCTCTACAACTTTCTCCATACTCCTGCCCCTGTTTTGGGCGCCGAGGGCTCGGCTCAGAAGCAATCAAAATCGGCGAACGAATCACATGAGAAGCGCAGTAGTAGTTCCGCCAGTCAGAATGCAGACATGATCGAGACGGACAATGGCTACTTTGCTATTTTCGATGGCCATGCCGGCACCTTTGCTGCTGACTGGTGCGGCAAGAAGCTCCACATAATCCTTGAGGATATCATCAAGAAGAACCCGAATGCTCCTATACCGGAACTCCTTGATCAAACGTTTACCACTGTGGACACCGAGCTAGAAGCGCTTCCGCTCAAGAATAGTGGCTGCACGGCTGCCGTTGCGGTTCTGCGCTGGGAGGACCGAGTTCCGAGTAACCAGTCGGCGACCGGCTCTCAAGCTATCGCCCCCGCGGTTGTCAAGGCCACTGAGGATGCTCTTAAGGTGGAGGATGGGCAGTCCGAGAAAAGCCTCAACTCTTCAATCCCGGAAGCTACACACGCCAAGTTGAAGAATTCTGCCACAAGACAGAGGGTGCTCTATACAGCCAATGTGGGAGATGCTCGCATCGTCTTGTGTCGCTCTGGCAAGGCGTTGCGCCTGTCATATGACCACAAAGGCAGCGATGAAAATGAGGGCAAGCGTATAGCAAACGCTGGAGGTCTGATCCTGAACAACCGCGTAAACGGAGTCCTTGCTGTCACCAGAGCTCTTGGCGATACTTATATCAAAGACCTCGTCACTGGTCATCCTTACACCACGGAGACGGTTATCCAACCGGATTGGGACGAGTTCATGATTATTGCTTGCGATGGGGTAAGTAATACCAACAGCTCTGCAGTCCACTTTCCCCACTGTGCCTGAAGATACACAAACTGACAAATTTTTACAGCTTTGGGACGTTTGCTCGGATCAGGAAGCAGTCGACCTTGTGCGCGATATCCAGGAACCGGTGATTGCGGCCAAGAAACTGGTCGATCATGCTCTGTCTCGTTTCAGCACCGATAACCTCTCATGTATGATTGTCCGGTTCGACAAACAAGCCCTGCTTGAGAACCAGAACAACAAAGACAGTGCCATTGGCGTCGAGGGCGATGCGACTACGGCTGCGGGCACGGTTACCGAGTCGGAGAAGATTGTCACGGCAACTAAGCAGAAGATTGCGGAGGGTAGCACACCGGCGGTTGGGATATCTGCGAGCAACTTTGGTCGCGGTCACGACCCCACACCCCTCGAGGACGGAGAGAAGAAGCCATTTGTCCCTACTACCATCGAAGGTTCTGTGGAAGAAGAGCCAGTTGTCCCCAGTGACTCTCCAGAGGCGACCTCGGACGGTTCCGTGACGGCAATGAAGTTAGATTCGGTGCCTGAAGCGAAGAAGTCTTTGGACGCGTAGTGTCTTTGACTACTAGCTGCAGGTCATGGCCGCAAGCTAGGATATCGGGGCCTATATCACGTCTGATGCGATTGCTTCCTCATCTTGGCATTTCTTGGAGTCGGCGGGTAGCCACCACAAACTTTGGGGAGGAATTGGAGTGAAGAGCTGGCCTTCATGCTGTATTTCGACATCCGAGGACACGGTGACATATAAGATAGGGATCTATGTTGGGAGGGGAAGCAGGAGTATGGGGGTCGTCTTCATCAAGCCAGTCATTTCGAGTTGTTTGTGCTATGCTAAGAGAATACTTTTCTCATCTCTACTTTTTTGTCACCACCCATTTCTATGGTGCATTTGATGTATCTTTGCTGTCATCAGTTGCCCATTTTTCGTCCTATGCGTTGCATAACCAATCATTATAGACGGTTACGACTTGCGACACTTGACAAAACTTGACTGTTGTTTACTTCGGCCTTTCAACTAACCGGAGCTGGATTGTTGCTCGCAAAACATACGCGCTTCATGTGCGGTCTTGATCGTTGCAGAAGCAGATACGAAATTTCAAGAGGCTGCATGCATACAAGTTAATTGTCTGCGGTTCAGTGAGATCTCTGAATGAATGTTTCCTCAAAAAGGAGGGGCCTTCCGAATATGTGTTTGTAAAAAAATAAAAATAAAAAAAAAGGTGTTACCGTCAATATCATCGTCACTTTCCTTCCACCCTTCATTGCCAATTCTCCACAAGTTACGTTGGCCAAGAGCAAAATACTACGATAGTGTGTGTGATTGCCCGTCGTCGATCAACGCGGAGGTTGTTGATGATATGGGTTAGTAGGAGTGTAGCAGTACGCTAGGTGATATCCGATTCATGAGAGGGTGAGTGTTTGTTTGTCCAGAAGGAAGAAAATCCAGTGAACCAAGGTTCATTTCCCTTTTACAGAGGTGATACTACGATTCCCATTCAGATTTCTCGCCATTTGCCATGGGCTCTAGGGCAGTTGGGGGGGTGGGAACAATGATTGTTACGCTATTGTCGTTCCGGGCCGGTTCAGGGGTTCCCTATGCAGGAAACACAGAAGGGTACTAACAGAACTCCACTGGCAGGCTTTCAGTCTTGGTGTAGTGTATGTAGTATACACGTTGGGTGCGAGTGCATTTACTGCGTATGTATGTAGGTCGCCGGACATGGAGACATGCAAGGCATTGAGGCCGGTCCTTTTCTGCCTCCGCGCCCTTCTTCTTTGGTCCTTCTTCAGGCCTTCTTTTCCTCAAACAGTTGTAGGGCGGCCGGACGGGACGAGGGGGAGGGGCTGTTGTCCCAAAAGGGGCCTAGAACAATTGAGATACAGTGTAAGTGTGAATGTCACCGTGCATATCTTCAGGTTCAAGTTGCAGTCCAGGGGTCGGGCAGCACTCACTCACGCAGCACAGCAAGCGAGAAGTCATGCTTGATTCACGATGGTTGAGGTTGGAACGGCATTGATGCATAATTGGATGAACAGCTCTGTCAACAGGCACACATATGATCAGTGGCACACTGTCAGAGAGGAGCCTCTTGTTCTCACTCCGTCGGGAGCCAGAGACTGGAGCCTCAAAATGCCCCTCCCTCCCTCCACAACCGCCGCGGCGTCTAGTCCACTGCAGGGAAATGGCCAGGTGCAGTGCGTGTCTGCGCACTGTGCTTTAATAAGACGAGCGTTAGACCCTGGTGACCCTGCAGTGGTGGAATTGGATCTTGCAACCATGTTGCGACACGCATGCATGGCTTCCCCGGGCGCTGGACGCTAGTCGCCGGTAGTCGCCAGGTACCCGTCCGTCGTGCGCGCCCAAGGGAAGGTCCAGTTCACGATCAAATTCCCCCCTCCCCAGCCTAGGCGCTCCCTTTACAATTTACAAAGCAGAAAAGCGCATCGATACCTTGCCCACAGTCATTCATTCTCATCAGTCGCATCGCATCGCGTCAATTCAACACTATCCATTCTTTTCGTTACCGCTCGGCTATGGGGTACATCCTACCCCCACCGCAATTAGTTTAACATATTCCTTCATTCGTTCAGTTCATGCAAGTTGCTCTGCCCTGCTGTTGGTGTGGTCTTTGCGGTTGCTCCGGAAACTCCAGAGTTGTCGCGCACAAGCTTAGGTTGTGAAGGGACACAGATCGCGACTTTGCGCAGACTTCAGTTTCTGTTTGGCCCTTTTCTTTCGCTTTAGCTCTTTGGCTTGTCTGGGTGCCCAACTCTACCCACTGACAGGCTAATTTGCAATCTCTGCCTTCACCTCTTCACTCTCATTACCAGCATCATTATTTTTAGACTTGTTGGGCGACCTACAGAGAAAAAGGTTGTTTCGACGTCATTGCTTTTTTACCTGAGAGAGTCTACAAGCTCCACCTCGGTCGGAGCCGACTTGCGATCGATTCTTGTTGGACTGGCCTGCTTCCGAGCTTTCGATACTTACCTTTCGACCCAGTAGACAACCACCAAACAAAAAAGGCTCATTGCTCTAGGAACATAACGAAACGACTAAACCTTGCGCATACATACTACCTACCCACGAACTACTTCCTGTCTGGCGCCTCACAAGCTCACTGACTACCGCCCGAGCCTGACATCGGCTGCAACGCTCGCGCGACCACCCCCGGTTTCATGTTCGTTTGCCCTGAGCATCAAAGACAGGGCAGCTCCCCGCGTTTCTCACCGTCCGAGCGACACAGGACCCTATGACAAGTTTTTGAGTGGGAAGGTGCTTCATGAAGAGAAGCTCGGTTCAACCAAGGAGACCCCGGACGAAACCTGCACGATCATCCATCCACAACCACATAACTGACCTTTGCCTACTCGTCACGTACTCACGCACCCGAGCCCGGCGCCCGGATACGTCGTCTGCTGTACCGTACCTACCTCCTGCCCGTCAGGTCTGTAGAGGTACATCAGTTCAAGCACCCCCGAGGTGATCTAGAAGATCTAAAACTGCTGCTCCATCGCTGCCGCCCGCCGCTCTCCCGTCTCGCAGCAGCATTCAAGTGCACACAGCACATTAGAGTACACATACAGAGCTCGAGCGCCCTTTCGCATACCCATATCGGCGCCAACGATATCTAGTGCCGACTTGTTCGATCTCGAGAAGCCAACCAATCGTTCCGACCGACCTGCAGTTGTGACGAGGAACGTTGGCCAACAAGGTCACTGCGCAACGAAAGCCAAGCCAGAGATAACCAGACATGTCGTTGAATGGGTTGGACAATCCCGCAGTCAAGGAAGCCCACGAGGTTGCGCTTGTCGAGCCTGGAGGATGGTGAGTCCTGCTGCCGTGCTGTCCTTTCTCCTTCTTTCATCCTGCTTTCTGTGGTTGCAAAGCGCCGCCTGGCTTCCCTCGTTCCTAGAACCTTATTATTTTCTTGTTTTTGTTTGCTTCCCCTGCGCCGCAAACTAGCGTCGTCGATTCGCTAACACGGTGCCTACCACCGCGCCCAGGTTCCTCCTAAAATATGCCAGTCGTGATGAGCTCGAGTTGCAAGGACAGGGCACCGGCGGTATCGTCGAGATACGAAATGCGATCGCCGAGTATGAGGATAAGTCGCCATTGTACGGCTATATGCGATATAGGCGCCGCAATGTCATCCTCAAATACCTGCCTGAGGGTTGCTCGAGGCTGGTCCAAGGTTCGTGTTTCTCTTTCATCTGCCCCTGGGATAACCATGTTATAATGTTACCTGAAGGGAAGAAAGACTTACCTAGCTTGCTAATCGTGTTTTAGCTCGAGTAACCGTTCACTTCAACGCCATCTGCGAATTCCTTTCACCCTACGATGCCGAATTCTCGATCGCCTCCGCATCTGAACTCAAGGACACCAAGCTCTCAGCCGCATGCTCGTTGCATACGTCGACTGCTTCCGCCTCGTCCATCACAGATTCCCTTCGCGAAAGGCTGTTGGAAGAAGCTTCCGAGGAGGAAGAACAAGAGCGAAGAGAGACAGAGGCGGAATCAGTAGCGGACGAGGAGGGACGGAACCGGGAAGATCCCTTGAGTGGTGTTTCAAGGGACCCGGATCTCGCCAGCAACCCAGACACCATACATGACGCCGATGCCCGTTCTCTAGCCGGAGTTTTGCGACCCTCGTCGCCCACAAGTATGATGGATGACTCGGCAAGGCGCATGTCCTCGCACTCATCTCGCTCTCGCCAAACTGATTATTACGGTTACGGCTCTTATAAGCCGCGCGTAAAGCTTGGACCCAGGCCTTCGGTGGATAGTGTCGGGCGACCGCGAACAGGAACTTCTGGAACTGGAGAGAACAGGCCGGTCTCAACGATCCCCGTAGGCCTCAAGGTTCACAAAGCCTTGAACAAGAAGAGCCGAGCCGAAGAACAGGATGAAGACGGACTAGAGTCGTCGACAATCAAGGAAGACGCAGAGAACAAATCCCTGGCAGCCGATTCGACAGCGGACCTGGCTGCTGCCAAGGTCACTGAAACTGAATCTGCTCGGCCTATTTCTAGTGGTGGAGTGGAGGATGAGGTGGCCCCGGCATCCCCTATTAAGCTAGAAATCCCCACATCGGCCCCGCCGCCGCCAGCCAAGCAGACCGCCATAACACCTGAAAAGGCACGGCTACTGAAGGCGATGAAACTGAGGGAGAAAAAGAAGATGATGAGTTCGAATTCCACGCCGAAAAATCCTACTGAAGGTGCTGGCGAAGCGTCTTCTGCGCCAAGCTCCCACTCACTCCAAATCTCAGAACCACTCTCAGACGCCACAACAACACTGGTGGCCCTCGAGAGCGCTAATCAGGGGCCCGCCGATGCTGAAGCCCAATCTTTGCACAACCCCTTAATAACCACTTTCCAGGGCGACTCGGGAGTGGACAGGGAGGCCGCTGGCGATCATTCGCCAGTTGATATGCGCACGGATTCTCACCCAACCTCACCCATAGCGACTGTTGCGACCTCATCAGATCTGAGCGAATCTACGCAAGCTTCCTCTCTTTTGGAATCTACAGATGAAACCGTTCTCGCCGACAAGGAACAGAGCCTCGAAGGCGCGCCAACATTGCTCGAACAGCCTGCAACTATGAGTGCAGCTGCAACTACTGAAGATCGGACTGATGCGCCTCCCGCGCAGTCAGTGGAGGATGTCGAAAAGCAGGAGGAGCTAGCGGCGGAAACTAAGGCAGACTCACAAGCCGACAACAGCCAGGAAGAAACGATTGGGACGCCTGTGGCTGTGGTTGAGAATGCTGCGGCAGGGGAGGCAGAAGGTGCGGCTTTGGCACCGGCTTTGCCGATATCCAAGTCCTCGGGAGCAAACGACGCATCACGCAATGCAGATGGAGATGCAGACAACCAAGCAGCAATTTCCCCAGAAGCGAAAGAGGGAACCACCCCGGAAGTCGACAACTCTGCTGCAGCCACAGATGCCAAGGACCACGGATCACCATTGCCTGAATTCCCAATACCGAATTCCAATTCTTCGACTCGAAACAGCAAGCATTTGGCCGATGAGCCTAGCCAGGAAGTTCCAGAAATCATCACGCCAGGCCAGGGTGGCGTGCCTGGAGATAACGTGTCTTCTCAGGAAAGGCAATCTGAGGTTCCAGAGAGGAGGGAATCGTCGGCTGTCCAGACTCCGCAAGCGAGGCCAAAGTCTGCATTTGAGCCTCTTCGACCAGACTACGATGGAGTTGACAGGGACAAGCGGTTATCGGTGGTCAACCTTTCGGATGACGACAGGCTTATGGATGAGTTGCAGTCAGCAACCGTACAAGGAGCCAAGCCGATCACCGCGTCAAAGTCACCTGGCTCATTGTCCCCCGGTGACGTGTCATACAAGAGAAATTCGATGATCGAGACTGGTTCATCCGCACCGCGATTCTCGAGGACGGTATCCAGTCCGGTTAGGAACACGTTGCTTTCGCCTGCGAATGTCCAAGCTGGCACGTCCAGGTCTCTCTCGACCAGTGCTGGGTTCCTCCAGAAAATGGGACAACAAGACATAAAGCCAGTAACCGGCAAGATTGGCTCGAGCATTTCGCAGCGAATCAAGGCACTCCAGACGTTGTCCGGTGCCCCTGCTGGGCCGCCGGACCCCGCTCCGAAAGAGCGACCTGCTACTACTTTCTTCGCAGTTCGGAAACCCAGTTTGCGTGAGACACCGTCGAGATCACCATCCGTCGCCGATAGATCACCATCCACCACGGAAGCCAGGACGTCAGCAAATCCGCAGTCGCAGATTGGTAGGTCCGGATCCGTAAAGAATCGACTTTCCATATTTGAGGGGGGAGCCGTACCAAGGGGCCGGCCTGATCCGGTTCAAGTGACCGCCCGCATAGTCCGAATAGATCCATACAAACAGCCTTACCCAAAAGCCCCAGACTCGAAGAAGGCTGACCCAGCGGATTTTGTGCGCTTAGAACTAAAGCAGTCCCCGCTAGATACGCAGTCCGGTGATCGCTCCGCCCCGTCGCAAACCGCGCCAGTGTACCAGTCTCAGTCCGAGGAACAGCGTGCTTTCTCGAGGAAGGAAGGGCCAGAGAGTGTAGCGGCGGAGGACGACGCCAGCTCAACGAGACGCTCTTCCATGGCGGTCGTCAAGGAGTTCATGAAGGACCGGCTTGGCAAGGGCCCATCATCGGATGAGCTACCCGCCGGTCTTGCGTCGCCTCGATCGCCATCTCGCCAATCGACGGTCCAGCCCGCCCAGTCATTCAAGTCGTCTCGCCGTGACAGTGCTGGCAGCAAAGCATCGTCAATCGAGCACGGCTCCCCTTATCATGCGGAAGATGAGGGACGACTTGGATCTAGCCACTCAAACGCTGATTCTACTCTCAGTCCGTCCAGTGGCAAGAAGGATGGAAGTCGTGCGTCGCGCTTTATGCGCCGCCTGTCTAACATCGTCCCTAACCGCAAGAACGGCGCGCCCAACATCTCGCCCACTCTTGTCGAGGAGGATGTCCCTGAAGTTCAGCCCGCGGGGAAGAACCCAATGTCTCCGCCTGAAGTACGGACAGTTATCCCCCAACAACACAGAACGCCTCCTCAGCCTTCCCGCCAGGCCCAAACGTCAGCACCTCAACCGCAGGTGCAGGAACCACCCCAGCCAGCCTCGCAGGCTCAGCCCCCGACAATCGTATGTTTCATGGGCGATGTGAACGTCCAGTTCCCCGACACTCTCCTTTGGAAGCGTCGGACCGCGTGCCTCGACAGCCACGGCTTTCTCATCCTGAGCCCTGCGCAGAATCTCTCGGCCTCGCTCCAGGCCCAGGCTGTAAAGCGATTTCACATGAGCGAGTTCAAGATGCCCTATGAGCCAGAAATGGAGATGCAAGAGTTGCCTAACAGCGTAGTTCTTGACTTTAAGGAGGGCAGCGGGCTGCAGCTTGCCTGTGGAGATAGGACCGGTCAGCTCACTGTTTTGAAGAGTAAGTTTCTCTCCTCTTATGAAGCTGCCGGATATACGTGAACAAAAGTAACTGACGAGAAATGAAACACAGCACTCCAAGATGCTCACAAGAGTCATATTAGCTTTGGACAATGAAACTGTTTTGACGACTACCAGAACAAACAAAATTGGAAAGAGCGAGGAAACCACAAAAGAAGAGAAAAAAAAAGCGTTGAAATTTAATCTACCCCTCTACTTAGTCCGACGACTAACCCCTTTATTCCTTTTCAACTTCTTCTTCACATACAACACACAGACATCCTTTATACGTTGTTGGACAACATGAACACAAGGACGAGATGGGTAGGTAGGGAAAAATGGGTTCAGGAAATCCATCCAACAACCTAAACCAGCCCATCGGTCACTGTGTTCCACCACACTTGCACATAACATCACCCAAACAAAACAAACTGAACTCAAACACATTATTACTATGTCACATTCGCTTATTACATGTACCCTTTCTTTCCTTTGCTTGTATTTTTTTTTCTTGTGGATCTTGAAAATTCCATCTGCCTATATCTATCTATCTATCTGTCTGTCTGTGTATATAGTCAAGATTCCCCCCCGGTTCTTCTCTCGTATAAGTCTAATAAACAAAATGTTTCAGCACTTGACCGTTGTGTGATTTGGCACTTTTATCATAGGACTGGAAACCTGTGTGACATGGCTATAGAGTGAGTGTGCATACCAGTCTTTCTAGCTTTATGTTGTCATTGATATTGTTGTGTGTGTCTGGTGGGTAAGGGGGGATAAACGGCCAACCGCGAATCGGTCTGGGGCGAGGTCAGCTTGCAGAAGTTTTGATAAGTCGCATAGATAGTCATGTCACTCAGTGGGAGAGATGGCAAGTGTCATTTGGATGAATACATATTCACTTTTAGCACAGTGAGTGAATGCAGTGTCAGTCATGTCTTCTATGAGAACCTTGTGAAATCCTGTCTCATTACTGTTTACACTCGCTCGGGAGTCCTACCGGCTCTTTCTGCGTAACCGTAAGCGGAGCTCAGGCTACAAATATAACGGCGCACCAGAAATGAGACAATCAGTACTAGTGACAGATGATACGAGTAAACGCACTCTTCATGAAGGTCATTTTTTCTTCGTTTTACTTTTTGTACAATAAGTGGATATGGGTGTTGTTCATCATAAACATGTCGTTGGGAAATTATAAATGCTCTATCTCTCTCCCCGTTTCCTTTTTGGCTCCCTTCATTCCCGCGGTACGCTTTTAAAAGAATACCATTACAACGACCATGCAAAGTGGCGGACAACCCAAAAGGACCAAACAGATAATATACAATGTGTGGTGATGTGTTTGAGCGGGGAGAAGTGAGTGGAATTTCGAGAGATGGGAAATGCCAAACGTGAGGGATGGCGAGATAATCATCGTAAGCTGGTTAACGATGCTGGCCTTCTTCTATTCTTCGCCCAGAAACGGGATTCCGTAGGTATCGTTCCGTTGGCCGGTCTTGTCAGATCAGACTGCGTCAAGTTGTGAGGCCGGGTGCTGGTTAGGAGTATCCGTTCAAGGCTCCCGCCGGAGAGAACTCGGGGTTCTTTTTTTCCCCCCAAACGGTCCCCATCCTGGAAACGCTAGTTTCCAGCCCGCCGCCCTTCGACCAGCCATCCCTCTCTCCCCTTCACATCTCCCGGTTCACAACAACCATCCGTCCCTCGCTCATCTTCGTTTTTCATTTTCCACACTAAGACTCGCTGCTTCCCTCTTTAGAGCGCAGGCCTAGCCCCCTCGCCACCGATAGCAGCCAAGGTCTTCTCGGCCGTACCAGCCTGTCCCTCACCACCAGCAGTGAGAACATCAGAGCCAAGCTCGCGCATGCGCGCCTCCTGCTCCATAGCGGCGTAGTTCTGGTCCTCGGCGAAGGCAATGGCGAAGGGGACGCCGATCAGCAATCCCGAAACAGAAACGGCCCAGGCGGCGCGGCCGGCGAAGGAGAGTGTCGACTTGACAAAGTTGGTGGTAGTGGAGTACTTGTGGTAGAACCAGCCGCGCGTGGTGGGGCTGACCATGTCGCGCAGGGCGTACAGGCGGTCGGTGAAGGTCTCTTGGGACTCGTAGTCGGAGTCGACGGAGATCTCGGAGTCTGTTTATGTGTAGAGGCGTGGGGTTAGTGGGATTGACCTTGTCGTTCCGACTATCTGTCTAGACTCAAGAGGAGAACAGGCCCATGGTGGTAATGTGTTGTATCGAGAGGACTCGGGCTAGAGATGTTAAGGCTAGATTGGAGGGTGGTAATATGGCGCGTGGTTGTTGGGCTAATAGGACTCCAAGTATGTCATTGTATGTTGAAGGAAGACATGTGTGTGTGTGTGTATATGTAGGTATATCGATGTTGGCTGGCAACTGCGTCTGGTAGGTTGTCGTTTGGGCATGGGCGTCACGGTGGCATGACTTAGGGTGGACGGCGTCGGGATGCCATGGGTATTTGGTGATGGCGACAGTGACGTAGTCGTACAAGTCCTTATAGCCCCTCCAGCCCGAGACTCCTCTCTTTCTTTGTCCTCGACAGTAGAGGAAAGCTTCACTCACCAGTGTCAGTGAAATCCTCGTCATCCTCCTCAGGGCCGACCTGCGGCTGCTGGAAGTGCTCGTCTTCGACCTCGGTAAGCTGAACCATTTTGGATTATGTGGGTGGGTGGTGGAATAGGTAGAAGGACTATCGTTGGTGGTGGTGGTGGTGACTTGGGCCCGACAAGTATGGAATCGAGGTAATGTTATCGGCTTTGTGGATGTCTGTTGCAATTGAGAAATCGGAGAAATCGGATAAGTGGATACAGGCACAGCGTGTGAGCAAAACAACCTGCTTTTTGACGGGCAACTCTGCTGGACAGTGGACAGTGACCTGAGAGTTTCAAAAAGTTGGATTGGACCTCGAATCGCACCGACCATGACGAGTTTTCTTATCGGACGCTAAGCCATATTAGGTACGGTTCAGTCACGGGACCGAGGATTAAGCAGTTAGGTACATAGCACATGTACTTCCCCAGATCTTCCAACTCCCCCCCCCTTTTCCCACCACTGCAGTGATGGTATGTGCAATATAATCGTTGTCAAGGAGATGGATCCCAAAACCAACCATGTTTTTCAACCACGCACATGGTCATATTCCAGTCAGCCAACATTGTCAATGCCATCCTTGGTACTGCCGGCGCTGCATGTACACTTCTCGCTCAAAATATCTATCTAAAAGAATAAACATCAAAAACTCAAACAACTCGCTGCATCTCATTACTCTTCCACTTTATCGTCCGTAGACACATATACAGAACCCATTCATGCTGAGTCCTCATACCAAACATTATTCACCAAGTCAGTCAATCATTTAACTCATGTCTCTCGCCTGGTCGGCTCCGCGAACCTGATCCCTCTCCTCGGTGGCGGGATCCTGGGGGTATCATCATCCTCGCTATCCTCGTCCTCAGCTGCGCCCGGAAACATGCCCAGAGCAGCTTCTCTGCGCCGTCTTTCCGCTGGTGTCTCACCCTGTTCCCCTTCTCTGTCATCTCCAACGCTCTGGAGCACCGCCAGCCTACGTCTCCGCTCTGCTGCTGTTTCTGGAACGTCTCTGCTTGGAGCTGCTGATCCGCCCTCTGCCGTGAGAGGCGATGGCGACCTCGACCTCGACCTCGACCTCGACCTCGACCTTGACCTCGACATCGATGGTGACTCGCTGCGTTCAGCATTGCTACCTCCGCTCATCATCTCCGACTTCTCAGGACGCCCTTGTCTTGTGAGGCTATCCTTGCTGTGGCTGGACTTGACAGATCCAGCGGGAGATCCTCTGCGCTGTACCGGCTGCGGTTGCTGCTGCTGCGATTGCTGTAGCTGCTTAGGCGTAAGGTCCGCTTTGGCTAGGCTCTTGACAGCGCTCGATGCGTTGGACTGGTCCACAATTTCCTTGCGCGTACTCTTGTCCAACTTCTGCATCTCCCGGATGAAGTCCTCCTTGTTCATGCGTTGGCCAACACCACCAATAGTGAAGCGAATATGACGATCGTCCTCTTCTTGTTCTTCCACCGCATTTTTCTTTTTCGATGCATCGCCGCCACCAACCACGGCCGAAGCCCACGTAGGACGTTTGGTTGGTTTGGACGGCCTAGTGGCCGAGCCCTCGCCACCGGCTGCACCTCCTGCGACCTGTGCCTTGTCCCCAGCCTTGATACCCATGTACTTCAAGCTCTGGGAAACAAAATCGTTTTCTGGCTTCTCTGAAGGCAGTTCATATTTCTTAAGAACCTCGCCATCTTCGTTTTCGACAATAATCTGCATGAAAGGTTAGTTGAATAAGCGAAAGGGGGATACATCAGCGGTACTAACCGTTGTACCAAACTGGTACGCTCTGGCAGGTTCACTTCTCCTAGTAGACTTCTCCTTCTCCTTGCGCTTTGCCGCTTCTTCATCACGCCAATTCTGAATCTTCTTCTTCAAAGCGTCATAGCTCCAGCCCGATGGCCCAGCCTCAGCCTCAAGCTTCTCCTTGAGAGCCTCCACTGGATTCTCGCCTTCGCCTGTAGCTGGGGATTCCACAGCCAGAACATTTCCTTCGCGATCCTCCACAATGACATGGTCGCCCTCGTCATAGTATTCAAGTTCCTGATCCCTCTGTTCAGATGTGGGGCTCGGTTCGTAAGGGGAGGCGGTTTCATCAGATGATCTTTCCTTTTCACTTTTTCTTACCGAGCGGCGGCGCGTAGTCAAGGCATCCGAAGGTGACAACCGCGCAGTGTCAGATGGCTCGAGAGACATCTCATCGTGCGGCGAAGCGATCGCCTGTTCGCTTTGGCTTCGGCGCTGGGGGAAGATTGCTGACTGGCTGATAGGGCCTCCGGGTCCGATCCCGTCATCCCATCTCTTTCTCCGACGCCGGCCGTTGGCCGATGATGATCGGCTTCCCGCATGACGCCCGGTACCTTTATCCTCTTCCTTCTGGCGACGCAAAAAGGTACCGGGAAGACCAGTAGGGGGCAGGGTGCCAGGGGGAAATTCAGGCATCTTCATATCATCTTCGGTATCCGACATGTTCCTAGCTTGAGAGCGGGAAACCGAAGTGATGCGGGGCAAGCGGTTCATCCAGGAAGGTCCATCTTCATTGGCTTGCGTGTATGACATGGTGATGGTAAGGGTGTTGATGTGCTTGCCGAGCGTAAACACGGCGACTGATGAGCCATGGACGATGATTGAAGACACTACCAAGAAGGTAACAATGGGCCACACCAGTTGAATCAGGTGGAAGTGCGGATTGTTCGGGTTGATGTTGGATATATCGGCAAGGGGGACGGGATCCTCATGCTCCAGCTCGGCGCGCGCCAGAATGGCGACAAAGATGGCACCAACGCCAATGGGACCGAAGTGACCAGCAAACAAAGCCTCGCGCCATGTCTTGATGTCGGGTATCAGTGGTTTTAGAGCCATCATAATGGGGATTCGTCTGAAGAGAATGACCATGATGGCGAGAACGACCAAGCGCCAAGCGCCCAGTCCGATGTCGAAGTTGTTGAACTGCTCCCAAGGAATGATGGTGCCGAGGTAGACAAAGTATGCCAAGTTGATTAGCAAATCAATAACGTTGGATACGTGGGATTCCTCCGTCTTGTTTGTGAACCAACCGTCATTGGAGAAACCGACGCCGGCAGCGAAGCCGACAAGAAGATCATCTACGCCTAGGATGCTACCAGACCCAGCGCAAAAGAGGGCCAGGACAAAGTAGAAGACGAGGAAACTCTCTCGGTCGATCAGCTCATGTCTCTCTGCATACTTGATACCGTGGCGTGCGATATAGCCGACCATGAAGCCAAAGATGGCGCCGAAAACGCACTCGTAGAGAATGGTGAAGACGATCCAATGAAATGATACGTCTCGGGCCTCACGGTGGTCTAGAATGAGGTAAAGAGAAAGGTAGACGAAGGGGAAAGCCATGCCATCGTTGCAGCCGGATTCGGCAGAGAGCAGATCTCGCAAATGCTTGGGCACTCTCTTTGCGAACTTGCCCTTACCGACAACAGATGAAGCGAGGACAGGATCCGTAGCCGTGACACAGGCAGCAACAACCAGACTGTCGAGCCAGCTCAGGGGTGGAATCAGCCACCAGACAAAAAGGCTGGTGATCAGCCAGCCCCAGAGCATGACAGGAATAAGGAGGAATGTGACGGATCTCCAGTGCTTTTCCATGTAGAACTTTGGCAATTCGACTCCAACGGCGAAACACTGGACGACGAGGACGAGGCGAGAGAACTCGATCGTGACGATATCTAGATTACCCCACTCGATAGGGTCTATAAGCCCGGCAGCATGAGGGCCAAAGATGAGGCCGCAGAGAGTGGCCACGGTAGCTTCACCAATGTACATGCGCTCCTTGATGATGGAGGAACACAGCATGAACAGAGAGGTGAAGCCGCCCAGGATAATGTACACCAGGTGGGGCCTGGTGATGGAAAGCTTGTCCCACGCCATCCTGTCGTGGCTTCTACGGACAAGCCGTAAGTAAACCCGGTAGTTGTCGTGTGCTCCGCAAGCAGTCGGCGCAAAAGTCGAATGGATGTACTGTTGATGAGCAAGACCAAAAGGCGAAAAGTCGAAAGAAGCGAGTAACTCTGACCTGATGCCCAGAAACAGGGAAATTTGACCTGTTCCTCCTTTTGTCTTGATGTGGGGCCGAGGAGGCTGGTGGCCCGTAGCTTTTCGCAGGAACAGGGTCCAAGGTGTCTGAGCTAACGGAACGGGATGGCCCTGCGATATTTTTGATTGCAAACGGGACCTCTGCTTGTTTCGTTTCCCTCTTTCTAAGCTGCGGGATCCCCAATGTCCCGGTCAGCCGGTATTCTCGCCCGTTGCCCGATGATGACCAAGTGGTGCGCGCAGGCGGATCCTGGCTCAGCCTCAGCCCTGCTGTTGTGTATCTGAACCGAGTGGGTTTGTGTTTCGTTTCTTAAAATAAGATCCAAGACAGACCACAAACGCTGTTCCAGCCAACTTAGTAACCCGGATAGGAGCGGAAAGCCAACGGAGCTTTGTGGCGTACGGGAGTAAAGCGGCGTAGTGTTTAGGAAGCTGTGACGAACGAGGGTTGCTAAGCGACAGTTGAAGGATATCGGGTATCGAAAAGCGAAGGCGGAAGAGAAGCCGAACAATCTCGCCGGGCTGTAGTTAGGGATCGCTGTTGTTTGTGCTTTGCAAGGTGGCGTTTGTCCCCCTTCCTCTGAGTTCCCACCACTCGCCCTTCGGTCGAATTCGATCTCGAGCGCCAAGCCAAATAGAACAGCAGCGGCGACGTCACTTTGTGCGGGAAGTAGCGCTTTGGTCGAAACCGTAAGTCGCGTTGTCGTCGCAGTTGCTGCCGGGCGTGGTAGCCAGACTCAATAACAGTCGCAACTGAGTAACAGGACCGTAACAAGCAGAAAATCCTTCTTTTTCGTTACCAGTCGCGATTCAACTTATAATACTGGAATGGTGTAGTAGTAGTAGTAGGTCTGGGTGATAGTCGTAAACGCTGCCACTAAAAGGTGCCAATGAGTGATGCTTTGAGGCGGCAGACAACAGTGATCGACAATGAACACCGCGCAAGACTTCCGAACCCGAAAAGAAAAAGGAAGGAAAGAAGTGATGAATGAAAGGTCAACATTGAAGCAGGCTGGGACGGGACGACGGCAGAGGGGCGGGAATGGCACAAGATAAAATAAAAGTCCTGGAGAACCTGGCAGAGTTCAGAACATCTGCTGCCAAGAGAGGCAGATTTTCTTTGGCAACATTTGCCTAGGTGGCAGGACATGATCCATCACCCATGGCCCGTCATGGAGAGGAAGGCGTCTGCGCCACGGGCATCGGTCTGCGCGCACAGTACCAAACGCATGTGGTTTAAACAACTTGTAAGTGGACGTGCCCGATCCCGACTGGGACCGATACCGTCAAGAGAACCTTGGCGGTCGAGACAAAAACCAATCGTATCGTGGGCTTGGTGGAGCGTTCCCCAGCTATGGCTACCCGCCGCGCTGCAAAAGCTGGATACAGGTGGGGCATGGTGCACCAAGGCAGAAAGGGACTTCCATGGGGACGGGAACCAACCTCCTGCTTCCATCTCACAGCGACCATCATGTGTACATAGAACAGCATGCACCCCACGGGAGAACTGAAGTGTGATGATGAGACAGCTCGGATGGGTCTGCGGGGGTTGGTACTTAGGATCTGGTATTCAGTTCTGTATGAAGGCTGCATTCTGCATATATATTCCATCTGGGGTCTTTCTGTGCATTGCAATAACACGGGGGTCACGAGAGTCTTCCTGTAGGAAAAACACAAAGTTCAAGGGACGGCATCTCGAAATAGCGGTCTTGTGTTTGGATGTGACGATGGACGAACCCTGCACTGCCTTGTCATGACATCCAGATCCACGTTTGCGGCGGTCCCCTCTTTCTTCTTTGGCGTGACTGATGGGCATTCCCATATGTATATCACGCCTCTTCTCTCACCTCCCATCCCAGGTACCGCACAACGACCAGTCTCGATCGCCATGGAAGCTTCTCAAGATAAGGCTAAGGATTGCCGAGCCGGGTGGCATGGTAGCTGGATGTACGGTAAAGGAGGCTGAAGATACACAGTGCTTACGTAGTGGTAATCGGCACGACACCATCCGACCGCTGTCCGACTCTATTCCGTCGACAACCTGCCTGCATACACTAGTACATTTACGAACACAGTGTCGGAAACCGGCAAGCTTATCACCACTGCACTTACGTACACCTTGACGTTTTGGTATTGGGTTTAACATATCTGACTCGAACTCCAGCATGGTGCCTTGTGTGTAAGTCTACGTATACCTAATACACTATATCAAAACGAAGCCGCGTACTCAGATCCGAATCAACTGCCAGGTTTTGGGCCCAGAATACACTACCTCAGCCACTGCCCAGCACATCCAGCCTCTTTGAAAAGCTTCTCAACGGAAAGCTTTTTCTTGACTCATGCTCAAGCTCATTTCCAAGAACCTATCCGCGACCGTGATTACCGAGCCAAGCATTGGCATCACATGGAATGCATATCCTCGGCCAACAAGAAAGAAAAAAAAAAAAAAAAAAAAAAAAAACCCGGAGCTGTGTGATACGGTGGAGGCGTGGGAGGTTGAGAGGAATCCCTGTTTGCCTTTGCGGATCGATTCAGTCTTGCGCCATTTGATTCATGCACTTGAAATGAGTAGAAAGAAGAGAAGCAAAGATATCTCTCTTTTTCATGTACGTGTGACCAACTGCTAACCTTGGGAAGGGGAGAATCTCAACCATGGGCCGGTGCGCTAATACGGTTCCACAACGGGGTCCTACAAGCTGGGTCGACGAATCGACGGCACTTTATACATACGTACTAGCAGTGACTAGAAACTGTCTTTTGGCGGTGGCCGGATCGTCCCTGAAATCTTCCTCGACCACCGCTTTTTAATGCTGCGGCATGTCCGACAAGGAACACAACATTGCCGTGATGAGTGAGATTTGTCCGAAAGGGAAATCTATGGGAACCCAACAGGAAACGCCCACCAAGAAGTGCTCACAGGAAATGTTCTGGAATAGGTCAGTGTGGCAATACGGGCCGTCACGCGGATCGTGGATTGTTTCTTTCTTGATGGCCCGCCAGTTTGGGTTCTGTACCCCTCAGGTTTTCCGGCTGTTGGTAAAGGTATGTATTCCACAATCTCTTTGCCCTACTCTGGTCTCTGGCCGGTGTACATCAGGAGAGGGGAGAAAACATCATGTCAGAGTGGTTGGAAATGTTCCATCACAGGTCTTTCATCGAAGGTGAGGAAACCAAACTTGCACAAACCCCATGAATAGTGTAACTCGGCCTGGTGGCATACGTCATCGTAATCGTACACAGGTGGTGTGGATGTTAGCAATTAAAGACATGGCTACCCCATGTTTCGCGGGTACCTTTTGGTGTTCTCACCGAGGTGAGGATGGTTGCAATTCTTAGTTGGATGTCAAGATCTTCTGGTCCCTGGGTCTTCACCGTGGTTGCCATGGTTCGTTGCCCCCCAAAAGCGCCAGGGGAACTGCAAACAATAGGTTTGCAGGGGAACCCCCCGCCTTAAGCCCCTCACATTGTCTGGATTCCACTTCCTATCGCCCCGTGCACGGTCCTCCGCGTTTAGTGGAAAATCAAACGAACGCGATTTTCCTAGACGAACGCGTTACCTGGTATCGCTATGGTGTGCCATTTTTTTGTCAAATGCAAGATGACAACTGGAATTTAATGATCCAATCCGAGCCAAGACTTTACGCCAACTCGACCGAAAGGGTTAATCGTGAAATTAGCGTACAACGATACTTTAGCACTCGACAAGTGGTGGTACTGTCCCTCTGAGGGGTCGAAAGCTGTATGAAGACTGGGCTGCTTGCCGGTCACCACCTGCTCCTGCACCGGGCCACCATCAACCTGAACCTTTCCCCGAACTGGTCAACCTTCCAAGCCGTTCTCGTGCACCGCGCACCTCTGCGAGCCCATGTACACAACTCTGCCCCTAAGTGTGCCGCCTTCCCACTCGAAGCACTCCACGACGAAGACATCATGTTTGGCAGGGCAGTCCAAGCAAAGGCCGCCGAGGCCAACAACAACAATAACAAGTCGAAGCCCGGTGCTTCGTCAATAACCAAAAACGCTTCCCTGAAGCAGCAACTCTTTCCTTCTAGCAGTCCCGCACGCGCCCCCTCAGTCGGCTCCCAGTCTAGGACATCATCCGTCGCCGACATGTTCAAGAAACCTGGGTTCGGTGGTACCTCTAGCGGTGCCATTTCCGCCAGTTCAAGACCTTCAGCGACTACCGACCCGTTGACGACTCGACCCGCGAATAGTGCTCCGCGACCGCCTCCCAACTACGGCAGCAGTGGCGGTGGCAGAGCGTTTGCGTCGCTCTACAACGCTTCTGACTCCTTCAATGATACCCCAGATGTGATCGACCTTTCCATGCAATCAACAAGGCGACCTCAGCATGATTTAACGTCGTCGGTATACATTGAGGATGACGATTTCAGCGATGACGAGAACCTCGATTTGGACTTCGAAGCCCCATCCGCCTTGCCAGTCCTCCCAACTGGGCGAATAAGCCTCGAACAACATCGGGAGTTGCAAAAGCAACAGGAGGAGGAAGTGAAGGAATCTCGGTTCCGCGAGCCCCGCCCAGGGACTCACACCAGTGTTCTTTCTTGGTCGGAGTCTTCGCCATCCCATCTTCAACCCCCCAAGCCCGAGCTGAATCCCCCTCCCAATACCAACAGGAAACGCGACCGCCTGCAAGACGACGACTTCGATTTCGAACCGCCCGCCGCTGTAAAGAAACCAAAGCGCGAACTACCTTGGACGATGGAACCGGAATCAAAGGAGGAGGAGTGGAAACATGCCGAAAAATACTCACAGGAGAAGAGCGGATATGCTCCCACGCCGGAATCGAAGCCCAAGGGGTCCATGCTATGGAACACTACGGCAAGCGCGGTCAAGGAACAGAAGAAGCAGCTCAAAGACAGGCAAAAGTCTTCCTCGGTCGCTCCCAAGACGGAAATACCCATGGACGAAATCAAGAAGGTCGTTTCGTCCCATCTTAACAAGGCGTCAGCCATTACATTGAGCGGCGAGCAGCTTCACGTGAAGAGCTTGGTGGTAGAAAAGGGGCAGAGCGTCTTCTTCACAGGTCCGGCCGGTACAGGAAAGTCGGTGCTGATGAGAGCGATCATCTCAGAACTCAAAAAGAAGTTTGCTCGGGAGCCGGAAAGAGTAGCGGTTACAGCTTCGACCGGTCTTGCAGCGTGTAATATTGGCGGCATGACATTGCACAGCTTCGCTGGCATCGGTCTCGGCAAGGAGGATATCCAAACGCTCGTCAAGAAAATCAGGCGCAATCAAAAGGCCAAAACCCGATGGCTCAAGACCAAGGTTCTCATTATCGATGAGATTTCCATGGTTGACGGTGAGCTTTTTGATAAGCTGTCTCAGATCGGCAGAATCATCCGGAACAACGGCAGGCCTTGGGGTGGTATCCAGTTGGTCATCACTGGTGATTTCTTTCAGCTGCCTCCTGTACCGGACAAAGATCTGAACAAGCAGAGGGATGTCAAGTTTGCCTTTGATGCAGCAACATGGAACATGTCCATCGACCATACCATTGGGTTGACTGAAGTGTTCCGTCAGAGAGATCCTGGTAAGCAGTTCAACTCTGGGATATCAAGTCAAACATGCGGCTAACAACCTTTAGAATTTGCAGAGATGCTCAACGAGATGCGGTTGGGAAGGATCAGTGACAGGACCGTCAAGAACTTCCAACAACTTAGCAGACCTCTAGCCTTTGATGACGGGCTTGAAGTAACAGAACTGTTCCCGACGAGAAATGAAGTCGAGAATTCGAACAGACAACGACTCGCTGCCTTGAAGGGCAAAATCTACCGCTACGAAGCGTACGATACCGGTGAGCCGGCGGTCCGCGAAAAACTTCTTGCCAACATGATGGCTCCTCCCGTAATAGAGTTAAAGAAGGATGCCCAGGTCATGCTCATCAAGAATATGGACGAGACGCTCGTGAACGGCTCCCTCGGGACTGTCGTTGGTTTCATGAACGAAGCAACATTTGAGCTGAAAGCGAGCAGTGACTTTGACGACGATGAGGATCTGGACAAGAAGAGAAGAATCAAGGCCTTCACCAGCGCGCTTTCCAATGCAGCTATTGAGAAAGGTGACAACACAGAGTATCCGTTGGTGCGATTCCACGCCGTCGATGGGACCAGGAGAGACATTCTGTGTCAGCCGGAGGACTGGAAGGTGGAACTTCCTACTGGCGAGGTCCAGGCTTCTCGAAAGCAGCTTCCCCTGATTCTTGCATGGGCTCTGTCGATCCATAAAGCGCAGGGCCAAACGCTTGAACGCGTCAAGGTCGACCTCGGCAGGGTTTTTGAAAAGGGACAGGCATACGTCGCGCTCAGTAGAGCTACCACGCAGCAGGGTCTGCAGGTGCTCCGCTTCCAGAAGGACAAGGTCATGGCGCATCCGAGGGTCGTCAGCTTCTACAACAAGCTTTACAGCGCCGAGTCGGCAGTGATGAAACGAACGAAGGTGGACCAGTCCATCACCAAGTTTGCGTACAAGACTCCATCTGTCGCCCAGGCTATTACGAAGCAGCAGCAGCAGAGAAGAGAGGTGATTGACATTGAGGACGAAGAGGAGAGGATGGCAGGATATGGTTGATGGTCGACTTTAGCGAATAAGGTTAATAAAACAAGGTGGAAGGGACATGATTACGGCAGCATCAGGCGGTGTTATGGTTGAGTTGACTGTTATTTTGGGTGGCGTCAAGGTCGTTGAGCCGAGGATTGGCTTTGGTTTATGTATCGGTAAGGTGGACATGATCAAGGAAAAAGGTTGCCCCAGGTGAGCTGGTACTTGGGGGGCTGGGACAACCACTCACAGCCTATAGACCTAGATGGTCTCGAACGGACGGAAGTGTGCGGACGGCAGCAGATAGCAAGCTGGCAGATATTGGATCATGGCGAGGTATATCTCCTCTCCGTCATCCCCAATTGTTAAAAACAAATTGTTGTAAGAAAGATCAGCAGGCACATATAGAGGTACATGTAGATCTAGGCTCGCGTGGCATTATCCCTCCAACCTCTTTAGACATTTTGCCAACATGACCAATTACCCAAAGCGACCACAAGGCTGAAGCTCAGCTACAAAGGACCAACCTCCTTTGCACACAAGGTGTTGGCATCTTCAACTATGGGGCCATGCTTTGATACACAAGGGTCAGGGGCTTTGTAGTAAGTAGTGGCCTGAACTCCTGCTTTTGGTTGCAAGAAGAATCGTTGTCGGAATTGAGTTGCAACTGCAGGGGTTTATTTACTGGTGTACATACATAAGTGGTTTGTTGGTCAGACGTTGTGAAACACAGTCATGTTTTCTCTCTGCATTCGGCCGCCCACCTGCATTTGGCCCCGTCCCCTGTCAGGGTCATGTCTCTTATTGCCTCGTGCTCTCAACTCCCCTTATGAGATTGGACAGACGTTGATGAAGTGACTCGACGCCGAGAAGGTTCGTGGTAGATCGCTGCATTACCCAAGTACTACGGGCACTTCGTGTGTGGCTATCTACAGTGCCGTGTTTTATGACATACTGTTCTGTACCGGCACAGTTGCACGGCTCATTCGAGTAAGAATTCACGTGCACTCGTACCGAGCATAGCATTTTACACTGTGTTTCACGAACAAGACGCACAGTACCGGTACACCGCTGGCGGTTGCCAAGCTTTGTCGCACCTGTACAGCTCCCGTCCCTTCACCACCAAAACCGGCTGTTATCGATAAAGTAAAAAGTGGAAGGGGGAACTGAAGCCAGGACGCGCGACCTTCTTTCACTTGGCACCAAAATCGCCGGGCGACGGACTGGCACCTTCCCAGTCTCTGGCACGATTCCATCACTCGACTTCACGACTCGAGTCGTCTCCTTCCACTCCAGTGCTCGAAGCGTAGAGGTAACCACTGCCCCGACATCGATCCAGTTTCGTCGCGCGTCCCTTCGCCATCTCAAGTGTCCAGAAGGCACCGGATCCAGAGCTGCACCCCACACACCGCACCGCATCCACCGTTGTCGGCTGTCGCATTGCAGCCAGACAGCAAAGGACGGATCCGACGAGATCGCACGCCTCGAGTGCCCAGCCGACCCTGCTCGTTTCGTTGTTGTTCACAGTCTGTTCATCGACTATTACACATCAATTTATCACACCTCTTACTATCTATCCACCCAGAACCGTCCCTTTGTCTACATCGTCATCCTCGGACAGTTCGCAGCCATGGCGGAGGATTCGTTCATCGGTCTTCCCATGTTGGTGACGATGCGTAATCCGCCGGCGAGACTGAAGGGCACTGTCAGCGAAGTGCAGGCTGGACACGGCTTGACCCTGACCAATGGTTTGTTCATTCCCTTTCCCTTTCTCTTTCCCTTCCTCCTGGCTTTCGAGCCTCGCCTTGCTAACGTGAATCTCTTTTCTCAGTTTGGAATGTCGACAACAATCGGTGGGAGCCGAGAGTCTCCATTCTCTCCTCGAACATTGTCGACATTGTCTACTTGCGCGAAGAACCTTCTCCCCAAACCGCCGTGCCCCCTCCGGTGCCCCCTCCTCACGTCATCCCACCTCCTCACGCCGTCCCCCATGCCATTCCGCAGGTCGCTCCGCCTGTTGCTCAACCGCCGCCGCCGACTAAGCCAGCAGCCTTTGTGGATCCCGCCATTCTATCTGTTGGGAAGCGCCCTGGCTCTCTGCCAGGTCATGCGTCGGATACCTCCCGTCACCAACCTAACACGAGTGAGAAGAGAGACCCGACTCCGGCTGTTATTCCGTCGAATAATGTTGTACCCATCCCATCCGGGACTGCCACCCCGACTCTCCCTGTAGTAGATAGGCTGAGACGCCTGGAACTGGACGCTCAAACCAGCACCCAAGAGTCTGCGGACGAAGACCTTGCACACGATGCCAGCTCGCAACAAGCAACCGCAGCCGCTCAGAAGAAAAAGAACAGACGGCCACGCAGGACTGGAAACAACTCGAGAAGTGGGCTACAGGAAGACTCAGAGGCGTCTCCGCAGGTCTCTCGCGCAACTACAAAGGGCAAAGGCTGGAGACAGACGCCTATTTTGCAGAGTACCTCCTCCTTCCAGCCCTTCAATTCTCTAAAGAAGATGCGAGGAGCAAACGACAACGGTTGGGCTTCGGAAGATGTCACTGATGTGCAAGAAGCCGGCGATTTTGACTTTGAATCTGGTCTCGCTAAGTTCAATAAGCAAGATTTGTTTGAACAAATGCGCAAAGACGATCTGATTGACGAGGCTGACCGCCTGGTATCGCACAATCGTGTACCCAAGCACAAACCTGGCACCGCCGGTGGCAAGAACCTGCACCATTCGGAGAACGTCCTCGACATGCCATCTACCATACTGAAGCCGAAGCCGATCGTCAAGGAGACATCCAACGACTTTTGGAACAGTGAAGCTGATGACGGGGTGATCAACGGAGCCGATCGACTGAGTGGGAGAGATCAAGCGAGCAGGCAAGGGTCACGCCGAGGGGACAACAAGGTGGCATCCAACCGGAGGTCGAATTCCCGTAAGGCGAGCGGCGTCCCGGCGGCGCACCCTTTGAGCAGAGTGAATTCATCTGGTGTAAGCCACTACCGCACCCTATCAGCTAAGGGCAGTCGGCCGAGTAGTCGGCTCTCAGCGAGGGCAGCTATCGTTGACAAAAAGAAGCAACCGGCGACAACGGTTGCAGCAAGTCCTCAGGGTCTCTACGTGCTTCCGTCGAATCGCAAGATTGAGCCCGTCTCGGCTCTGCAAATGCTCAACCTAGAGAACATTGCACACAACGAGATTGGTCTTACAGAGGAGATGATGACCGAGAATGCCGGACGTGGCATTGCAGAGGTGACGCTTACAGCGCTCTCGGACCCGGCTATCAAGGTGCGCCACTCAAGCATCGTCGATCCCACGTCCGGTAACCCGCCGCCACCGACAGTTGTTGTACTTGCCGGTAACAACAAATCGGGTATCCGGGCTGTTGCTGCCGCCCGGCATCTTCGCAACAAGAACATCAGCGTGATCGTGTGCGTGGTTGGCCTTGAGCGTGGTGAGCGTGATCTCCTCGAAGACATGCGCCAGCAAGTTCGCCTCTACAAGAACATGGGCGGACGCATCTTCTCCAAGAGCGACTTTTTTGAGCACCTTCGCAAGATCAGTATTCCTATGCTGACAATCGACACACCTCGCTCGTCACTAAGTAGCCTCGCTAACCCGGCTCCTATTATGCTCATTATCGACGCGTTGCTGGGCCTGGCCATTTCTTTTGATGAACTGAGAAACGGTGATCAGGCGACGGTCTATGAGCTTATCGAGTGGGCTAACCGTAATGAGGCATTTGCCCTTGCAGTTGATATTCCCACTGGCATCGACCCATCGACAGGCAAGGTTAGCGTTGTTGACGGTAACAAGTTGTATGTCAAGCCGCGCTACGTTGTTGCCGTTGGTGCACCCAAGCGTGGACTGCTCGAGGCTCTGATGGCGGCGGAGAACGATGATGGGGATACGGTGCTGGCTGGCGGGGATACCTCGTTGCCAGACGATGCCGTGCTGGAGTGGAAACTCTACCTGGTGGATCTGGGTCTTGGCCCTGCCATGTGGAAGAAGGCAGGGACGAAGATGCGTAGGGGCATCGACTTTGAGGACCGTTGGGTGGTGGAGATGAAATATCGCGGACTAGTGGAGGAGGAGGAAGAAGAGTTGGTTTAGGCATCTCGCTGATTCCCCGTATGTCGGATGCCTACGCCGAGTCACTGAGGTGGTATCCATCCGAAGATAAGCGTTTTGAAGGTCAGGGTTTTTTTTCGGTTTACACAACGTCGAAGCCAAGACTGGAAGGAAAGAATGGAAAGGAAAACACTCGAGATGGGGAAGAGAAACGAAAGTTACGCATGCATTAACATCATTCGGTTGGGTTCTTGGAAGCGAAACATGGGCGGTTTGTGCATTTACTCGGAAGCGGATCAATTTTTTTTTTTTTTTTTTTTTTTTCCTGGGCGTTGGTGTGTTGTCTGACGGTTTACTTCGGAAAATATATTTACTGAACAGGGAGGTTTCTCAACATTCAGGTCACACAAAAATTACGAGAAGTTGCATGATCATGGTCCAAATCTTGCTTGCACTGACTTCAATGGTTCGTCTTATGATCACACGTTTGGTGCTAATCCTGGAGAGCAGTACGGCTTTTGATCCCATACAATCAGGAATATACTGGGCCTCTGAGAAGGAATGCAGGTAAGAGTCTGAGATGCCGCCTCTGATCAATCCAGTAGTATTCTCCAATGGGGATTTCAAAGGGTGGTGAAAGGTGTTGAGGCTAAGTGTCAGGGCAACTGTGCTGGCACGGGCTACAAAGTAGTATGGCATGCGTCACAGGCCGGCCGGCGGGTATTGCTCGCCGAGGACAACACAGCGGTCAATATTGACCAACAATTTTGGTGTGGATAGACTAGAAAGAGTTGGTAGGTAATAGCAAGGAAGGAAGGTTTTTCTTTGATTCCAGTATCAGTGTGAACGGTCCAATGTGTGTTGTCATCTCCGGGCAGTGTTTATCATTCCTTGGCATTGAATTGTGGGGCTCCGACTTCAGCGTTGATGATTTCACACTTGATTGTCTCTTGAACCTGAACTTTCGCAACAACCTCAGCAGAACACTTCGCGGTATAGTCTGGAGCACCGTCTGGGTTACACTCTAGCAGCCAAACATTATATCAATATCAACAATAGGCAAGTTGTCTCCTTCTGACCTTTCACCTCAACGATGACTGACGCCTCTTTTCAGCGACCGAAACCGGAAAACCCAACGCCAGCAGGCAAGCACCAAACTCCCTTGCCAAGACTTTTTACCCCTTATCACTCCCTCAATCATTGTTTACATTCACCATTATCTCACCTCACCACTACACTATATCCTCGACAACACCATCAGATACTTAACCATGGCACCACCACCACAACAACCAGCACCTGGGTCCCAATCCCAACCAAAACCAGCCAAAACCCTGACCTTCGCCACCCCCCTCCCCCAATCCGCCCGCTCCGACATCCTCGAATGGCCCCTCCCCAAACCCTTCTCGCACTACGTCCTGACCGGCAAATCGCGCGCGGCCTGGCACACCTCCTTTGTGATCCCGCAACTCAACCTCCTGCTGGATGCCGGCTTGGTCATCAACAAATCCCGGCCCAAACACATCTTCATCACGCACGGACACAATGACCACGCGCTTTCCTCTCCCGTGTTCATCAAGCGCGAGGATCCGCCTGATTTTCATTGCCCGGTGGGGATGAAACAGGTGTTGGAAGACTACTTGCGGGCGAATACGATGCTCAACTTGGGGGGTTTGATAGCGCCGAGGCCCGGGAAGGAGTTACCGCTTGAGGTACGGGATCCGGAAACGGGGGAAGTGGTGCGCAGTGAAATCAGGCCGACGCACGTGACGTACGGTCTGGAGGCAGGGGATGTGGTACCGTTGAGACGGACAAAGAATATCAGCGCTGTGGCTTTTGCCTGCGATCATACCGTCCCTTGTCTGGGATATTTGTTCCAGCAGACGACGCATAAGCTGAAGCCCGAGTTTGCGAAACTGCCGCCCAAAGAGCTCAAAGCGATCAGGGCCAGTGGACAAGAACTGACGGCTCCGGTGACGAGTCCCATCTTTGCGTTTTTGGGGGATACCACCACCAAGACGCTGGAAGAGGAGCCGATGAGGGGGTGGTTAAACGAGAAACTGCCGGTGGTGATTACTGAGTGCAGTTTTCTGTATGAGGAGCATAGAGCCCAGGCGGAGAAGACCAAGCATACGATTTGGGCGGACCTGGAGAAGGTCATAAGGAAGTACCCCGAGACAATGTTTGTGGTGATGCATTTTAGTCTAAGGTATAGTGTGGGACAGGTCAGGAGGTTTTTCAAGGAGAGGGCGGAGGGGTTGGACAATGTGGTAGTTTGGGTTGATGGGGAGGGGGAGGATGGGGATGATGTGGGCGGGGAGGGGGAGATGGGTGATGAGGATTAAAAACGAGTAGAAAATGGGCGGGAGATCTCGGGTTAATATCTTGCCATCGGTATATATTGTTCGAATGTAGATATGTTTGGACGCAAGAATGAAACGCCTACCTACCTTTAAATTCGCTCAATTTCATGCACAATGACTCCCACGTTCTGCTTCTCAGCGAGGGCTGCAATCATATGTTGCAGGCCAACCCAATCCTAACCACTGACGACCGCAAGGATATCGACCTTGGTCTTTTGTGTTGGGAACCAAATACTCCCCCAATATCCAGAAGCGGCGTTGGTGGCTATATAACCCGATGAAGCCGATCGATGATGATCCAGACTGTCTTCTACTCTTCATTTTGGTTATGACCAAACAGATCCAACACCTTCATAACTGCAGCCTGCACTATCTTTACCTTTGATGGCTTTTGAAGGTATCGTTTTCGTCCGATCTCTTGCTCATGGCTCTGGAATTTGAGATTCCAGGTCAGGTGAACGAGACTAGCAGATGCATTACTGATTCATGAAAGCATGAACGGTGTCATACACGCAACGGGAGAGGGCAAATGGTCTTCAACAAGGAGAACTGGACAGTTGATTTTGTTCAAGAGCACTGCGAGCCACGTTGGGATTCTAGAACCCTCCTTCAGTGGTGTTCGTTGGGTATCAGGTTGCGGTCCCGAAGAAGCTTTGTGTCAGAGAATGAGCATAACTGGTCGTTACAACGGTTATCTCGGGTGTCAACCCCAATTGTTGGGCTGTGCAGTTGTGCAGACGACTTGCATGATATTGAGACGAAGTCTTTCCGTCGTGCATTTGAGGTTGTCTTGCCGCCTTTCAACCGCCAATGGTTACCTCTAGTTATTTTGATCAGCTATGGCCCACGGGCGGCAGGACCGATGAAACGACTGCCACACAGGCTAACAGCGAGGGTAATACATTGGACTTCTTGAGGTACACCCTTTGGTCGTCGCTGCTGTTTCAGTCGCGACGGAAGTCTGTGACTATTCTATCTGCCAGGTTCGTCTGACGTGAAGCCAAAAAAAGGGATAGTCACCATGTGGACGATTTTGGAAGGTTGTAAAAATGATTGTTCAGCTGAGGGAGGAATAGCCACGGCAACGAAGGCAGGCTGACAAGTCTCACTACCATCGAGGGGTTTGAACCGAAGATCTGGATATATAAGCGGCAAAACTTCGGCATGATACGTCTGTTGTATCTGCTCCAGATTCCGATGTACTTAAGACAGCCCATGTCCTCTCCTCAAAGTAGCGCGACTGTCGCTGGATGATGGATGCTACGGCATTGTGGTCTGAATACCCCATTTGCCATGACTACCTACGCTCGTGGAGTCATTGTTAGCTGTAAGAGATCCAGCATTCCCACATATTCAAGCTCCGAATGGAGTTGAGAACACTTCTCTCGAGTACCTCTACTGAGGTTTCCCCAAGATCAGAATACGTAAGTCACCCACCTGGGTCTCCAGGGTCTGCGGATGACTTCTCACCCCGGTTTGTATATCAGACAGCCAGTCGAGTCATGGTTGACTATTTGTTATACCCCCAGTACAGCCCTTCAACAAGACATTTTGGAAGGCTAGAATTGATGACTAAATCCTAGAAAGATTGTACATATTCCGACTGTACAAAGAACCCAGTGCTTATAACCAACTTCCGAACACACTTTGACAAGTCGAACATTCGTAGATGCAGTGAAGGCACATGTGCTTGGTGTAATATCATATTCAATCACGACTAGTCCAAGAAATTTTATGAAATTGGTCACAAAGCAGAGTCACTCGGATTCAGTTGCACGGATATCACCAAGTAAAGCCACTCGGCTTTGGATGCGCGTAGTACAGAGAAATGTCATGTATGAGACTTCATACTATGTCTGTGCGTCATGCACCTGTCCATGTTGCCCTATCGGTCAACCCTATCATGCGCTTCGAAGACAATGATATGGGAGCCTATACCATGTTATGAGATACTTCCAGAAAGCCAACGAGATATCAGTTCCAAAAACCAAATATCTCAGCCAACCAAAGCTTATCTTCTTTTACCGGCATGTTCCTTCCCAAACACCGAGTGATCCAGTTAGGAGAAAGCCCAAAACAAACCAGCCAAACTCCAACCGAAACAGAAGAAATGTCTTTTCGAAAGAGAGAGACACTCAAAATCCTAGGGTGTGACGGCGATACTATAACCTGAAAGGTCAATTAGGCGCCGAAGACAGCACCCAGGGCGGCAGAGGCAATCAGAGCCACCGCAAGATGAGTGTAGCTGACGCTGGAAGAGGTCGCAGCGCCGGCGTGCTGGGGATGGTCAGCAGTGGCGGTCGGAGAGGCATAAGTACCATTGGCCGTAGAGTAGGAGGGTCCGGTGGCCCAAGAAGAAACACCAGTGCCGGTGCCGGTCATAGCGATGGCTGTCTTAGTGGCGGTGCCATTGTACGGAGTGGCAGTGGTCGTCAGGTTTCCGACGGGCTGGGTAGCCTTCACGAAGGTAGTGGTATGGGTCAAAGTGGCAACGGCAGTCTTGGTGATGTAAGTCATGGGCTCGCTGGTGGAGGCGCTGCCCTGAACACCATCGACTTCGTCAGTGGTCTGATCGGCAGCGGCGCTGACCGAAGGCGTGACAGTGATAGTGATGGGAATGCAAGCCGAGGCGCTAGACACACAGGTACTGTCAGTGTTAGTCTTTGTTTGAGAATCGAGAAATCAAAGACTTACCTAGAGCTGGAGGCAGCTACGGCACCCGCGCTGCCATAACCCATCTGAGCGTTGGCACCGGTAGCGCTGAGGGCAGAGATGGCAGCTGCCATCAGCATCATGTTGACCTTGCGGCCCTTCTTCTCAGTACGCATAACGACGCAAGGCTCCTCGGTGTTCATGATAACGCAAGGCTCCTCGTTGCCGTTACGCATGGGAATGCAGCCGATGACACTGTTGTCCGACATTGTGGCGGTCAAAGAGACAAGCTAGAAAGGATGGTTAGACGACGCGCAAGATGAGAGAGTAACCATAACTCATGGGCGCGGGGCAGAACAGGGGAAGGGAAGAGGGGGCCCAGAAAGGCTTTGCGACAACGGCGACGAGGCATGAACACGCCGGTGAGAGTCCGGGATCAAGACCTCTTGACGCGCGTAGAGTCGCCTGCTATGTTGATAAGACCGGGCGCATGGTGAAGGGGTGCCCCACGAAGGTATCGCAAGACCACTGTCATGTTGCGATCATGTTGCGATCGAGGAGCCTCCCCACCATGCGACGAGTCGTCGCGACAATACAAACAAATGGACAAGAAATAAGAAAGGAAGCAGAAAGATGGGACTCGGTGCTTACGAGTGATTAATCCTGGAGGGCTGGATGCGCGCGCGCTGAACGAGTGGCTGTTGAGAGTGGAAAGACGATCCCGCAGTTGTTGAAGAAGAGTGCAAAGGTGGGAAGGAGGGAAAGTGGAAGGAGAGACTGCGGGCCAGCTTTGGGATTCTTATACGCGGGGGAAGGAGGGAGTGAATGTCAAAACCACTGCAGCAGCTGCCATTGTGGACGACCGTTTTCGACAGGCGACCGAGGAGGGGGATGGGATGAAAACGGGGCGGCAAGAGTTGGGAACCTGGGGAGTCCTCCAGATGGGGAGGTGCGCTTGTTGGAAACGCAATTCACCTGAAGCTTGTCCGTACAATTAGCGGCGTACCTTCCATGTCCAAAGGTTCCGCGGGTACCTCTAGAGGTAGGTACGATGAAGTCAGGTAACCCTGCTTTCACCTACTAGTCGAGGTTTGTTCAGACGAGTCACGAGGCTAGGTCCTCTCGGACGTTTGGCCCAACAAAAAAAAAAAAAAAAAAACCGTCTGCTATCTTCGGTATGATAGATGCTGAGATCTGTTCTTGTAATCTGCCAGGCTGAATGTTGCAGGTTTGTGCGGAAAAGAAAAACCCGCACAAGCAAAATGTTATGTACCGTGGCGACCACTCTGATTCCAAGTATAGGTAGGCGCTGGGAGGGGGTGATCTCACAGTATCTGGACATAACCACTTGCACTATTCGATTGTTAGTCTGCTGCTGTTTGATCCAACGTAGAATGATTCGTGAATATATCCATGTCCTGGTGTGCATGATACAAACGGATAGTGAATGGATTGCAGTGCCGTAGGAAGTGTTGGATATGAAGAGAAGTTTAGGTATGTCAGCTTTGTAGCTTTTGGGAATGTAAGGTTGTCCATTCCGCCGAGCAGGTAGACATACATGACTTTGGCACATATGATTTCTTGTTGAAGCGTAACGATCTCAATTCGTAAACGTCAAACGATGCCGGAAACTTTCAGCGATGAGAATCGCAAGCAAGGCATTGAAGATGAGAATGAGGTAACGTATTGTGTCAAACTATGTGAAGTTGTGAAGCCATTGACAATATCCATGAACGTGTCGAATAAAGTGAGCTGGAATGCATGAATGAAAGATCTCAAGACTTCCTCTTGCGCAACACGTCAAACAAAGTGGACTAGTGACGGGGTCAACGTGAACATGTTACGCTGTCAAAGGCCCCCATCCAGTACGAATGTAGACAAAATAATTCCAGAACGATAAATACTGCTCAACGATGACTCGTAGTTCATATCCTTTGGGTAGCTTTCACCATGTTTGGGATGTTGAATAAAAGAGTGTCATGATTGAGTTCCAGGTGGTTTGAGAGGCTTCGTTGACGTGCGGTCGAAGTTCAAGTTGCATTGACTTGGTAGCGTTGTTTGGAGTTTGGACAGTCCCCAAGAGTATTCTCGACTTTCTGTTTGACCATACTGTAATTACTGATACCATATTTTCATACAGATGTAATGCCTGTGCGGCTTGCCGAAACAGTGAGTGGTAATTTGCTGTAAGCTGATCGCAACGTTTCACCGGGCCCCTTGCCAGTGGTCACAGGGCCCCTGTCATTGCGGACGCTGCAGCTCCTTGGCTCTTGGGCAGCTCTCTG